CCCCAAAACCCCAAAACCCCAAAACCCCACTGTATAGAGATTAATAGTATGTGTTAAATATATAGAAATAGAATAATATTGAATTAAGGTTATATATCATTATTGAGGTTATCTGTATTTAAGTATACGAGCTTGGAATAAATATCATACTCAGTATTCATTTATTTGAGTATCTCTCATTATCATAACGCCGCTTTCAAGGACTTCAATGGCAGCCTCTATCCATACATTAAATTTAAGTAAATTTTTCAAAGTGTCATGAATAATTGACTGTTGCTTTTTCCCTTTAAGTACAGTTTGAAGGTCATCACCGGTAAAATTCTTGAATAAACCTTTACCTTTTTCTAGTGGATCACATACTAATACTCTTACAAACTAATTTGAAAGATAGTTTGAATAATCCTGAACATAGAATTAGAAGTAAAGTATAAATCTCTCATCCTTAGTTAAAGCAACTTTACTTTTTCCTATTTCTCTGGTTGAATTAGTTTTAGTATTTTGAATCCTTATAATTTGAGAGATATTTTCAATATCTGGATTGATTCCCTCAACAGTAATTCTGGTTCTATGCAATTTTCCAGCACCTTAAGCCTTTTATTGAAGAATTTGTTCGAGTGTTTCTAGAGGAGCGAATTTTATTTTCTAATTTTGGATTGATGATGCAATGACTGGATGCATTATCTTTTAGTCTGATTTGAGGAGAGCCAAGTCAACTTAATGTTATGCAGCGGGAATATTAACATTTATTTCTTTACCGATGATTGAGTTATAAGGAAGTGAAAGAATATTTGAGTAGTTCTTCAATCCAAAGACTCTCTCGTATTTCTCATGGTGTTCAATAGATGCTGATCTTATTCTTAAAATCTAACCCTCTCTTACCCATTTGTATTTCATGTTGAGAATATGGCAGTACCAGATCTCATTTGATTCATCAATAACTCTAATTTCACTTGAATAGTCATCTAATCTGAAGTGTTATACTACTTTCACCTACAAATCGAAGTCATAGTACTTTCCACTATCTGGTTATTTTCCTCCCTTTTATGGGACCTCAGCCAAAGGTGTTATATACTTATCTGAAACTACATGATGCTTTGAAAAGGTTTTGTTGATCCATTCTCTGAACTACTTGATCAATCTTTATTCTGACTTCTCAAAACTAAACGATCTGCCAAAGAAGGTAAACGGTAAGTATTCTCTTTCATTGTAAATGAACTTGTCTACTTTACTATCTTCAACTGATTCAGCTTTTGCTTGCTAAGCATTCAGAGGAGAGAAAAGAGCCCAGCTGCTATTGAAAAAAATATTGGCTGTGAATTACTTCACTCCTTTGTATTATCCAACGTAAGCTCTATGAACTCTGATTATATCTCCAACTCTTTGAGTAATTGGTAAGTCTTCGTATCTCTTGGCGAACATAACTAAGGTACAATGCTCGCTGATACCCTCTTTATCAAGGGGTTGATCAGGATCTGTGATCTTGATCGAGCAAGTGAATCTGTCTGACTTGAAGGATTTGTGAGGGAAATTAGAGTCCAATACAATAGCATAAAAGTTGACAGTCCCATCACTACCGACATCAGCATCCTTAAGTTTAGTATATTCATAGTGAGCCTATTAGTTTTTAAAATATGGAAGTAATAGACTTACATCTTTTGCTTTCTTTTGTTGCTAGATCATTTTTCTGTTTGTTTTTATATTGTAAATTTATAAAAATGTGGGAATATATAGGTTTAGGAGCCAACAATTACACTGATTTATTAAAACTTATTTATCAGAATTTACTGATCAATATACCGATGGGGTTTTGGGGTTTTGGGGTTTTGGGG